TGCAGAGCCTTATAGGTGAGCATGAGGATTTTAAAGTCTACATGGAATTTGACCGGAAGCCAGTGCAAGGACTCCAGGATAGGAGTAATGTGAACACTAGCAAGAAAGGGTAAGTTGGAGATGGGGCAAAAATTGTTAAGATTGTCGAGAGCCATGTTAGGCTTTTTTGGCACAGGGGTAATGGCAGAAGTAGATGGATCTAGCAGACTCTATAGTAACCTTATACTCAGATAAGTAATCTCTCCAAGCCTGATAATTTACAGAGCGTGAGGGGGAAGTGTCAGAAACAGGTAATTCCAGATTGAAGAGAATGGCTAAGTGGTCAGAGAGGCCTAGATCAAGAGGAGAGCAGTGGGAGACAAAAGAGTCATTTGCAATAATTAAATGCAAGGTGTGTCCTTTGTTATGTGAAGGGGTACAAACAAACTGAGTAAGATCAAAGGATCCCAATAGAGAAATGAAGTCTTTAACCAGACTGGAAGACCTTGAGTCAATGTGTATATTAAAGTCCCCTAGAATAAGGATCCTTTTAAATTTAAGGCATAAAAATGAGAGAAAATCAGCAAACTCACCTAAGAAGGCTTCACTGGGTTTCTAAGAACACGTGTCCTTAGTGTACTGCACTTCTACACTGTTTCCACAACTGTTCTCTGTTTTTTTGTTTATCTTTAAGAAGTTCTCTGGTTTGACTGTCAGTGTCTTTAAGGATTCTGAAAACCTGCCTCGAACCCATAATCCTTACCTGTACAATACTAAGTTCCTTCAGACTTAAGCGCTTTGAGTGGAGTGTCCAGAAAAGTGTAAGGAATTAGTATTATAACACTCTTGATTTAAATTCTAGGCTTTTCACTTTATTTCCTGGCATTTTGTTCGTCTTTCATAATGACCTCCCCACACTGTCAAAGATTTAAAGTGTCAGCTTTAACACCTACGTCTTTCATAAGATCTTCCAGCTCAGTATTTCCCTTTGTGTATATTTAACGTTTACGTTTTTACTACCGGCGCTTTGTCTAAAGCAAACGTTATTCGTCAGCTACCTGGTCGGGTGTGGAAACGTGCCGTGATCTCGCTGTTAGTGCACAGGTTTTAGGACGAAGGTGTTTGAACGGACCGTCTATGGACAACACGATCAGAAAAGAACAAGTGCAGTTCATTCATCCCGTCGCCAGGGGTCCTCACCCGAACACAACTGCTTTGACCGCAGCAGCAGTGGGGTATTGAAGAGGATAGACAACGACAGTTTGATTACCGTAAAACCAAGCAAACACACGTCTTCTTTCGGATCCCAACGCTTTGAAAGTATTTTATTGCGGTATTGCAGACCTTTTTTTTCTGAAGGAATGTGAGTCTACCGCCAGTGAAACCCTATAGGACCGCTGTGGGGACAATCTGAATTTATTAAAAACAAACAACAAAACAAATCAATTTAGAATTCAGAATTAATATTAAAATATTTCTTATGTGCACTTCTTGGCTAGTAGTAGTTCAGGAGGGTAGCTGCGTCAGCATGCGTAGGCTGCAAAGGAACGGTAATAGGTTTCTGCCATGCTGAAAAAGAGAAGACAGAAAACACAACGTTTCGATCGTGGAGCCGCTCACACCTGAAGAAGGCTCCACGGCCGAAACGTTGTGTTTTCATCTTCTCTTTTCAGCTTGGGATAAACCTATTACTTCTTGGCTGGTGTGTTCATAACGGCAAGAACAGGGCACGAAAAGCTCTGTGCGCTACTACACGAAATGGGACGGTGTCCTGAGGTGGCGTGTGTTTACTCCCGTTACCTAGGCAACCGCGTGGGAGGAGGTGCTATGTGACGTCAGGAAAAGTGAAGCAACCAATCAGCGACAAAAAGGTGAAGGGACGACGTCACTGTGAGAGCAGGAGACCCGTTATTTGGGAAGAAACTGGACTGTAAAAAAAGGGCTTAGAACTTGTTTTTTTTTTTGTGAATTATTACTATTTTGAATGTCCACTGTTTTAACTTCCGTCCCCACAAGACAAGTCCCCCGGACCAGGCATCTTGGGTCGAGAGACAGCGGAGAGCGCCCCGGTGGGCTTCGGCAGAGACAGCCCTCCGATCCGGGACAGGGAGCGAGTCGCTGCGGCCGGCCGGGCTTGGTCTCTCCGCCCGGGAGTCGCCCCCTCACGCCCGGGGCCCGGTGACAGCCCGGCGATGTAAGTGACACACGGTGTCCCCCGATCAGCGCTGCCCCGCCGGCCAGCTCGCCAGGGGCTGCTGCTCCGGTGAAGCGCCGGTCGGTTCGTGTTACATCACGCGTTGTGTAACGCCATCCGCACCGGTTCGGCAGCGGGCCGTCCCCTCCGCGTCCGCTGCGGGACCAGGTTGTTACCGACTGTCTTTTTTTTGGGGGGGGGCAGTTATTCGCCTCGCGCCCCTCCGTCTGGCTCGTGGGCCGGTGGGTGCAGTTCCAGACAAGATTCCAGCTCTGGACGTCCCGTCGGCGCCAGGCCCTTTTGTGTCCATGTCCCGGACCGTCCCGTGCAAACTGTATGTGGGAGCCAGTACGTCATGGGAAATCTCACGGGCGAGAGGAGAGCCGTAAGCATTTTAGTTAGGTTTTTAGATCGCGGCAGCCTCATGAAAGCTGCGGTACAGAGTTTTGGGATATGCGCTGAGATCTGCACTGCCGGTGTCCTGTGCTGGCTTCGGTTAATAGCTGCATTGCCAGGGTGGTGGTGGCACCTCTGATCTTGTGAGAGTACGTCACGGGACGTCCCCGTGTAGATTGGTACGATCTTGGAATTGAAGGGGATGGGGGCTGATTGATCATTTGGTTGCTGGTGAATTCCGTTGGAAATAAAAGTCCCCACACTCTGCGTGAATCCTGTTTTGTTTTTGTTTTTTTTTCTAAATGGGTTAACACACACGCCTTTGTGGAAGTTTGTCCATTTGGGTGATTGTGAATTCAAAAACGGTTGTTTGTAACCCAGGGCTGTGGGGCAGAGTCCTTCTCAGTTTGATCCCTGACGCCACCAGGTTGTGCCACAGACCCGCCCCTCTGGGAGGGAGGCAGTGATGAAGTCTGAAGCCACAGCACCCACCGTGACAGTGTCTTCTCTGGCAGAAACTCAGGGTCAGAGGTCTCGCCCTCGTTCCCCCTTCAATACTGCATCTCCGCCCTCTCCAGTGGGATCACGCAAGGCTGCTCCCACACTGGCCAGGCGACCTGAGCCCTAGAATCCATGCTGGAGAGCTCCTGGTGTGGGCACAAATGGGTGTGGGGCACAGAGATCAGACTCCCAGTGCACAGTGGGGTGAGGGAGGACAGAGATCGGGCTCCCTGTGCACAGTGGGGTGAGGGGACAGAGATCGGGCTCCCTGTGCACAGTGGGGTGAGGGGACAGAGATCAGGCTCCCTCCTGTGCACAGTGGGGTGTGGGGCACAGAGATCGGGCTCCCAGTGCACAGTGGGGTGTGGGGGACAGAGATCGGGCTCCCAGTGCACAGTGGGGTGTGGGGGACAGAGATCGGGCTCCTCGTTCACAGTGGGGTGTGGGGGACAGAGATCAGGGTCCCTGTGCACAGTGGTGTGTGGGGGACAGAGATCGGGCTCCCAGTAAACATCAGGGTGAGGGGACAGATCAGGCTTGTAGCAGCTGCAGTCTGGTTTGTGTGAGCTCACATCACAGTGACGTGGACGACTGGTGCCAGGGACAGCAGACCCTTGGAGCAGACTTTGTGTGTCGTTAAAATAGTGTTGGAATATGTGCCTTACTGCCTGGTCAGCACAGTTTGCGCACATCGCCACGGTCCATCTGCCTCCTCTCCGGGGCCTCGTCCTGCCTTGGGCTTGTGTGGACTGCAGTGTGCACAGGCACATTTCTCTGCCTGTCCTGCATGTGTCCGAGGGGTATGGTGGGGAGTTGACCCGCTGGGGAACTGGCAGTTCTGACCTGGAGCGCGAAGCAGAAGCTATGGTGGACAGTTCAGAGAAAATGACAGTAAGAGGCTTCCGCTTTAAGAGAGCTGGAATGCAAGCGAGTGCTGAGTGACCTGAGAGGTCAGAGGCAAACGCTATATTTACCAGCCCTGTAACCTGATCCCAGCCCTTCTGGATTACAGCCTCTCCCAGCCTCTCCTCGCTGGGGCTCCAGCTCACAGCTGCTCCGAGGTCTGCCGCAGCAGGGATTCGACAGGCGTCTCTGCCGATCTGTCGCCGCTTTCCCATCCTGACGGCTCTCTCTGGCCTGGGCTGCTCCTCTTAGGTGTTTGTCTGTTTGCTCCAGTTATTCCTGAGAGCGGAGGAAGAGGCGGCGCCGTGTGCTGAGTGATTCCATTCACTCCCACTGTCCGCCGGCTTCTGGTGCAAGGTAACTGTGTTGTGTGGAGGAGACAGTGTGCGCGCCGAGAGGACAGTGTGCGCGCCGAGAGGACAGTGTG